CACACACATTTCAACACCCACACATAGACACGAACACACACCCACAAAGAAAAAGTGAGAGACTAGGAAGAGAGAGAGAGAGAGAGAGAGAGAGAGAGAGAGAGAGAGAGAGAGAGAGAGAGAGCGAGAGAAAGAGAGAAGAGAGAGAGAGAGAGAGAGAGTGAAAGAGAGAGAGGGGGAGGGAGATACGTATGGAGAGAAAGAGAGAGAGAATGAGAGGAAAAGAAAGAGATAGTGATAAGTAGGCAGATAGATAGATAGATAGATAGATAGATAGATAGATAGATAGATAGATAGATAGATAGATAGATAGATAGATAGATAGATAGATAGATAGATAGATAGATAGGCCTAATAATAATAATAATAAATATTATTAATATTATAATAATCATCCTAATCATAATCATAATAATAACAGTAGTAGTAGCAATAATAAAATAATAATAACAATAGTAATAAAAGATAGCATTATAGAGCGCAAATTCCCGCACAACAACAAGCTCTATGCGCTTTACAATCTATTATATAATTATTATCCCTTCAGACCTGATAGCATTCTGAAACAATCTCAACTTCATGGGAAGTATTCTGTGCAAGCTGCCATTTATAGGAGCTAAAACACTAATATACTGACACCATCTTTCGCTGTCTATGGCCGGGTACCCATTCACACCAGGGTGAAGTGAGGAAAATGTGTCTAAAGTGCCATTCCCAAGAATACAACGTCGGACCTGAGGTTTGAACCCTCAAACTCGCAACCTCATGATTGCAAGTCCTCGATGGCCTATCTACTAGACAAGCGACGCCAGATAGATAGATAGGTAGATAGACAGACAGACAGATGGACAGATACTCGTAGATAGATAAATAGAGAGAGAGAGAGAGAGAGAGAGAGAGAGAGAGAGAGAGAGAGAGAGAGGGGGGGGGGGGAGAGCAAGTAATTTAAAACAACATGTGGACGTGCTGATGCAAAATAGGAGCATGTGGTTTGGGGGCGGGGGAAAAAGGGGAGGGGGTACAACATGTAATTCAAAGAAAGCTTACCTAATGAAAACCAGCCAATCATCTCTTTTTTCTTCATGTTTTTCTTGTTGTAAACAGAGAGCATGAGGGTCACATCCGGCAGCTGGAACAACGCCACTTGCAGCATGAACGTCTCCTTAAATAGAGGGTTTGGCTGGCCTCTCCTGATGGAAGTCTTACAATGTTGGACTTCTTGACCCGAGGAATTCATCAAGCTCAGCTTCACATACGTATCTGACAATACAAAATAGTTTGAGATAAAGATTCGCTATTTTCAAGAGCAGTAGCAAACATTAATAAGGCCTCCGTAGACCAAAAGCGTTTGTTTGGACAGTGTACGTGTCAGTGCCTTGCGTTAAGCTGCTCATGGAGCACTGTGCGGTATTTTTGAATAAAGAGAAACATGTCTGTGTGTGTGTCTGTGTAATAACGGCCTTGTACTGTAGTTGTTTATATTTTTTAACACTAACACTTCCTGTGAGGACCAACCCAGGCTAAGAGGGGTACAACGTCCCAACGGAATGCCCAAGACCTCACGGAATTTGAACTTTGGCCTTTGGCATTCTATAGCAGAGCGTCTAACCGCTGCACCATGAACACCGGACATTAATTTAGTGCAGGGGAAGAATAAGATAGACATACGTAAACAGCAGATTATGAAAGAAAACAAGTAGCCAAAAGGACCTATAAACCTGGTACCTGGCCCTTTGACACTAGAAATGGAAGTTACACAAGATACACGGATACACCCCCCACCCTTTTTTCTCTCCCCGGATTGCTCATAGATAACTTTTGTTCAATGAGAAGAAGAGTCCAACCCAAGCCGTCGCCACTCACCGGGCGCCCTGTTCATGGCCATATTCCTGAAGTTGCTTCCCTTGATGACCTCACAGGAGAGCCTTCCCGTCGTGCCGTTGTAGGCCAGGCCAAGTAGAAGTTCTGGCATGCCGCCATGTTGGAGGGACTGGGTGGAGGAGCCGCTGTCACTTCGGGACAGGCTGGACACGTCAAAACCTGAATCGCCGTGCTGCACAGAGAAATGTCGAGTGAAATATAGAAAGATAGACATTGATGCAGCGTAGAGATAGGCAGAATTCAAGAAAGACACAGAATGTTAATGTTGATAATAAATAAAGACAAAATATTGTTTTGGTAAGTTTACGACGCTCGTAACTGCATATAAAGTCATATGAGCGCGCGGGACAAATTAAGCATTTTCAGTTTGGCAGGGATTAATTTTGAATTATACCCGGGTGGAGGCCGAAGCCTACTCTTATTAATTTTAAGGACCACCAAGGGATCTTTATCGTGCACAATTTTCACTCGGGACCTCCGAGATTTTTCCGCCTTTATCCAAGATGGCTAGGTGTTCGATCTTACCTACCCTAAAACAAAGTGTGTGGTTGACAGACTGCAGTAAGAAGGAGCATGGAATAGAAGTAGAACGAGTCAGGAGCCCAGACGAAGTGGGGGG